CGTCCTGCTGGAATGTTAACAAATCCTCCTGTAGAACTGATTAGTGGTTGCCACTCATTCGAATTTAAGAAAAGAAACGCTAATGTTTATGATGATTTCTGTTTATTAGTATTTCGACCCCCCCTAGAAAAATATAATGGCTACGTCCATGTTTCCACCTAATCTTCTCATTATTTGTACTACAAGATGATCCATTGCAATATTTTTTGTGCAAACACTAGCCTGAAAACTATAATCTCAATGCAGGCATGTTTAATTCTGTAATTGTTTCTGCAACTTTGAAACGCGATTATTCGGAAACCTCTGGACAAAAAGCAACAAAGTAGGATACCACTGAAAAGAGAATTAAACGTCCTTTAAAACGATGTGCCACTTGACTACTATTCCCATTTAAGATTGTAAGGGTGACATCTACCCCTCATAGGGGGTTAAAAGAAAAAGGCTAAAAATATTAATTTAAAGTGTCCCCCTTACAAATAAAATTGACGTGTCTTTCCGGCTTTTCATATTTTTAACTGCAAGAAAGATAGTAAGGGTGGGAAGTTTTATAATTGACACACTGTATAGATGTTCTTAAGGTAGTAGAATTATAGAATTAAACAAATATAAATATGAATCTATCCATCAATACCGAAATCATCACAGCTCCAATCATACCTCTCCATGACACATTGTTATTGTATTTTTTGTTTATTATTTAGACAGAAATTTTTTCAGTCTGTTAATAATAAATAATAAATAACGCTTTATTGTACAAAAAGCCAAAATAGCTTCATCGACAAAGAATTTAAAAAACAAACAAAAGCACAAAAAATATACAAATAATAAAAGATCTAACCAAGCATCATTCAAAAAAAAATGACGTCATTAAAATTACCAATAGAATATACATGGACATTGCAGAACACAAAAGAAGCGTATCAATAAAATTTTATAATTGGAAAATATAATGTATATAATTTAGGTCAGTTCACGTCAGTTTGGTATCTAGCATAATGATACGTCCCAGATGCTGGACCTTCTCTGAGAAAGGAATTTGTTTACCTCAGAACCTGAGAGTTCTTCCAAAGTTGTTCGCTTGATGAAAAGGATAATTACAGTCTTTGTAGGGCTAATATTTAGTTCCTAGCATGTCACCTCCGTTTCCACAGTCTTCAGGGCCCTCTACATTAGCTCCAGTACTGTTGAACTTGCCTCTGACTATCATGACCAAATCATCTGAATATTCTTTTTTAATCGGAGGCTCCTTGTAAATTCTGTCAGTAACTGAAAGCAGGTGTAAACGCTTCTTCAACGTCTACGAATTTTAAGCACTTTTCCTGTTTCGAACGTCGACTCTTCACTAATACTCGCTGGTGAAGAGCTAATCCTGTTGATCGAACGATCAACAGAATTGGCTATACCATTGCCATTAGATACATTATATATTTATATATAATAATATATACCTACAGAGTAGAATTACTAACTGTGTAGGTGTGGTGGTGATGGTGAATTGGTATTATTCCCATAACGTCATCCCTAGTATACCTGTCTATTATTTGTTGTTATCGTTCCATTACTGGAACAAATATTTGTAACACATTTGTAAAGCTGGTGTATCTGTATGTTTAGTGATGTCTAAGTGCCGGTTTTGGTCCAAGAAATGAACATATTTAGGCAAGTGAGATGGAACATTAGTTTGTCTCTAGATCTGCATGTCTCAGTATACATATTACACGACATCTTGTTTATATTTACATGTAAAATGAGCAATAGTAAATTGTTAGAATCGTAATAGACATAAAATGATTCAAGTTCTTTAAGAGTGACTTTATTGACCAATTGTTTTGCTGTTATTATTTGAGGAGTAATAAATGTTATATTTTAGGGAGTATTTGGGAAATCAAAGAATAGGTAATGTCTTCATTCCTGGCACACACAACTCCGGTTCATATAAAGGAATCATAGCAGTATTTGAAGGTTACGTTCTGAACCAAGACAGAAATATATGGACTCAGTTGGTGTTTGGTATCAGATACTTGGATCTAAGGATAGGCTATACACCTGAAGAAGAGTAAGATAAATTGATACAATCAAATATCTAGTTTAATTCGAGTTATAATTACGTCCATCGCTCTCTATATTTAAGTTCTTTTTAATAATTTTTATTAATTATTATTTATTTTAAGCAGTTTCCTCTCAACTGTATTGTCGTGATCGCTTTTTGTTATCAACTTCATGATTTTCTGACTATAATTTAAAACTCTTAAAGCTTTTTCGTTCGATATCACATTCATTCGATCACTGAGTAGAACGACAAAATAAATAAATGTTTTTATACAGGGTGGTCCGAATTGTGCTGCATATTCTAAAGATAAAAATAAGTAAAACAGTTCGTTAAGCTTTAAAATGCTCAGCCACCTCTATGTGGTTTAACTCATCTAACGTCTAAACTTTATGATTTCAGTCTAATAACTATTAATTTAGTCAACATATTTAATTTATGTCAATGATGACAGGTATTGATAATTTCGATTCGAAATATCTCGAGAAATATTACTCGTAGCGATTTTTACCAAGAGACCTCTTTTACGTAAAAACCGTTGTGAATGTATATTTTTTACACAGTAGTTTTATACAGGTACGGACGAAAAGTTATTACTCTTCAAACAAGTTAAAAAATATGTAAGTGGCGCCCTCTACTTAGTCATATTGACATCAAAATAAAATTTCTTATGTCAAAAAACTCTGAAACCAATTTTCATCCAAATATTGACGTTACTTCATAAATTATTTGGAAAAAATCGAAATAAAAATGAAAATTCTCCACCCCGTATCTCCGAAACGCATTTTATGAAGCACGTTCATTTATACGAACTTTTTTACTTATCTGCAGAATATGTTGCCGAAGTTTCCGGAATACAGTTCGGACCACCCTGTATATTAACACAGATATATTTTTAGATTGTACATTTATCATGATCACGTTAGAGTTGCCAAAGTGGAACCGATTTTGAGACAAATAAAGAAATTTGCTGAACTTGCTCCACGGGAAGTTATTATTGTGGATATTCACAGATTTCCGTTTCCACGAAACTTTACCAGACAAATGCATCAAAAGTTCACAAGAATGCTTGATGATATCTTGGGAGTACATGTCCTGTCGCCCCATGGCTACCAAAGGGAGGGTGGACCAAGCTTCAACGAAATATGGGCACAGAATAAAAGTATTATTATATCTTATGCTGATTCTTTGGTGTCTAATAGTAAGTAATTCACTATCATCTTACGTTTAATAAGAAATGGGTAAGAAATGTTAAATTTTAATGCTTAGGAGAACTTTAATAGGATGTAATTTGGTTTACTATCTTTTTGCAAAATTGGTTTTATTATTTAAACGTTGAGACCTCTTATATAGAGATACAATATTAAGATTAATAAAGTTTGTATCGAGACAATGTTACGATAAGGTGAATGATAGTGAAAAGGTTCTTCTAAAGGCTTTTAACGACTTGAGACGGAATGTAGAATGTAGAATGAGAAAGAAGTGGTGGAAGTTAATCACCGAGAGCTTATAAAGAACTATAGTGTCCTCCTTTCTTGAGTTATAACTCATCATACAGTCTATAACTCATCTTACATAGGGATCTTCCTGTTTTAGGGGGGACGGGGTATTTTCCATTCTCCTCTGATTACAGATGTTAATCCTCCGAGGACTGGTCATCTATCTCCTACGAGGGTATACACCCTTCCAAGATTGGGGCTTAGCCCCCCGTGCCCTTCACAGTCGAGGAGCTTGTCTCCGGCTGAGATACCCGTGAGAGAGAGGCTGGAGGATCTCTCTCCATTTTCTCCACCTCTTTAACTTGGTCTCTCCTTAGACCTGATAACAGTGTTGTCTCGAATCTATAATAGAGGATATATCCCTCTTTCTGTATTGCCTCCTTGAATTTGAGCTCAATTTACTGCAAGGGTCCAGTTCTCCAGAGCTCCGCATGTAGAAGTAAGGGAGGCGAGGTTTATTAATTTGAATTATAAGGTTTATTAATAAAAAATAGCTTTGTCAAAACTCATGTTTTTTTTAGGTAATCCATGGCTTTGGCAACCCATTAAACAATTCTGGGGTAACACGAACAAAGTCTCAGAACTGAAAGACTATCTCTGGAGATCCATTTCGGAATACAAAGGCTTCAGAAATCCGCTTTGGGCATTAATGGCCGAACTGACACCTGGAACATGGGATGTGATACTCAGGAAGAACAATCTTAGGGTTCTAGCTCAGAATGTCAATAAAGAAGTGACGAAATGGTTCAGAGATGAGTGGTTTAATGAAGCGAATATCGTTACCAGCGATTACTTTCTGGGAAATGATTTGATACGTGTAGCTATCGAAGGAAATAAAGCTAAGAATGTTAATTACTATTAACCACTGTTTTAATCAGCCTTTAGTAATCCAAGTTATACTGTATGATCGAAAAAAACGGCGACAAAGACGGCTGTCATTTGCTAAAAATTGACATAAAACTTATCATACAAATCGATTTCCAAAAAATTATTTTGTCTAGAATTTTAAACTACACCATTTAAAGGTCATTTTTACTCAATAAAAAGAAATTACGACCTTCTTAACCCATTTTCGGCCATTGTTGCATAAACGCAACAGTCACTTTGGCTGCGTTTAAAAAAAACTTATGATATTATATAATTTTATTATATTTTGTAGGGATAAACACATATACAATAATGACTACTGACATATTTTAGTTTGGTTTAAGTTAGATTTGTTACCTAGATAATTTTAGAAAAACCGGAAATTTTTTTAATGGACAAGTCTTATTTTCCAAATACATTTTTTACCCTGTATTATACTAAATTTATATGTTTTGATATATACATATTGGGGCCAATACTTCATATGTTAATATAAATTTGAGGAAATAAATCTATGTCGTACTGTTTTTTTAAGAACCACTCCAAATTTTAGTGTTGCGTTTACGCAACAACGGCCGAATACATAAAGTCTCGATTTAATTTTCCTCTACACACTTGTCAAACGGTAATCGTTACTCTTATCTGTTACGACGTGCAGTGTTTACTCTGCGTTAACCACGAGCGTACGTGAACTATTATTGTGCGTAAAGCAACATTTTCAAGTGCCAAAATGCCAAAGTTTCTCACACAGAAAAAATTAGAGCTAGCTTTAGAAGAAATAGTACAAGATTTGGACTGTGACAATCGTAAGTAGAATATTACTTTTATATGCAAGACATTTTTAGATCATATGCTTTTGTTTTTTAGAAATAGATGCTGTGTATATTCCGCCAAATGTAGACGAACTTACAGACGAAGAGAATTTTTCTGAGGATGTCGAAAGACGAGAACAAAATGAAAATGCCGATATCGCGGGAACTTTTGCAATTCATACCAATGAAAATGATTTGTATGATGATTCTGATGAAGAACCCTTGGCTGTTAAAAGGCAGAGGATTTAGAGCAAAACTAAACCAATTTGAATCCCGTCTGGCAGTCTGGAAATTTTTTGCATCAAAATGTTCCGAAATCAAAGGAAGAAGATATGACCGAAGCTCTAAGAAATCAGTTAGAGTGTTTATCGCCGTTACAAATATTTTTTAAATTTTTTAACGATGCAGTTTTGGACTTGATAACACAATTTTCCGAAAAATATGCCAAAAAAGCTAGAACTGGAGTTGCAAGGCCGCTTGAAGTGGAACCCCCTATCGAAGTTAGACAAAATCAGGAAACTGGTATGGGCCATATAATTATCAAAACTCAAACAAGGAGAAGATGCTGGGTATGCCATAGCCAAACTATATACACGTGTCGATGTTGCAACGTTTTCTTACATACTACTTGTTTTGCTGCATATCATTAGGACTTCATGTTTTTTCGGCCACCATTTTTTATTATAGCTCTGTATTTTTGTGTTTTTCTATTACAATATATGTAGTTATTAACCATTTTTACGTAATATATTTTTGATTTTTTCAATAATTTTGCTCTATTTCAATGACCGGCCGAAAATGGGTTAAAGCCAATTGGCAGTAAGCACCAAGTAAAGTAAAGCACGGTCAAAGTAAATGACGTCTTGGGCTTGACCTCGCCAAAATTATCATGGATTGGCATTTTCCAGCCGACTTTGACGCATTTTTTTGATTGTATGGTACAGAAATTAACTTTTTTATATAGAATGCATTTTTCTCAAAATGTTAATAATAAAATAGTTCTTTTCTCTTCTAAAGACGATCCATATAACTTGTTGTTTCGCACTCTGATTGGTACAATTCTGTATATACGTATACTCTGTTATTAAAAAAACTCTGATAGTCAATTAAAAGTGGCTAAAATATTATCAGAATATTTATAATAATAATAATAGCTCCCGTATATAGCGTTTAATGCCTTGGGAGTAGCAAGGTACAGCTTGCCATGCTAGAGCCGTTCGGTATACAAGGAAGGTAATGTGGCTAGCACTACGCTTCAACCGTCTATTATTACCTCAGGATTGTGAATCCCAAGTACTCATTTAAGGCTGAGTCGACCTAGGTACCCAAACTATTTTTATTTTAATAAAAAATAGTCGGCTGATGAAATGCCAGGTGTAGGATTCGAACCCACTACCTTGAGATTCAATTTCAATTTCAAAGCATTTATTGAGAATGTCTCCTTAAATACAATAAAAAAGTGCTATATACAATATATACAATAAATAAAATAACATGATAAGATGGTATGTTGTTCTTCTGTTGAAGCCACTCAACCACCTAAGCGAACCCTGTGAACAGGGAGCAGGTGTTTACCCTAGGTAGCTCTTTTATTGACCGGGCGAGGACTTTGAGACCTTGAGATTGGTAGACGAGAGCCTGTACCTTTACGCCATCGGGCACCCTAGCAGAATATTTAATTTTTTATATATTTTTTGGAAATTCTGTAGCGTCTGGCGAAATAATTTACCCATTGAAATTTCTAAACAAGTGTTATTTTTCAAGATTTTAAATAACTTTATGCAATAAAAGATAAAAGTTTTAGAATTGGGCTAGGGTTTACAATATACTGGGTGGCAAATAAATCTGTAGAATAGTGAAAAAATCACCCGGATAGAGGAAGGACAAACGTGATAAGCAAAATGATAAGGCAGGAAAATTGTAGTAGATCTACTAACAAAGAGTTGCAAGCTCAATAGGCATTTAAATGATACGGAACTGACAGACGAAGTCATATGAAAACAAATATGCTGTTCTTTTAATCTTAAGCCATTGCCAAAGGGCTATATAGAAGATGTCCAGGTTATTAGATGTTCGGAAAATATAAATCTGGAGAATGTATAACTTCTTCTTCTCCTTCTTCTTATCACGCCCTCTCCTGCCGAAAGTTGGCGATCCAAATGGCAATTGTGGCTCTGGAAACTGCAGCCCGGAAGATTTCCGCAGACGAGCGTTCAAACCATCTCCTTAAATCTTTTAGCCATGAGTTCTGGCATCTTCCTACTGATCTTTTCCCCTGCACTTTGCCCTCTATTATGAGACGCAGTATTTCGTATCTACCTCTCATCACATGACCCAGGTATTGCATTTTTCGTTCCTTGATGGTGTTCAGTATCTCTTTTTGTTTCTGCGTGCGCTAGAGTACTTCATCGTTGGTGATCCTTTGTACCCATGAGATTCGCAGCATCCGTCTGTACACATACATTGCGAAGGCTTCTATTCTCTTTTCGGTCTGTGAATCCAGTGTCCAGCTCTCACATCCATAGAGTAACACAGAGAAGACGGGAAGACGTAGCATCTGGCCATTCGAGTTCTGAGTTCCGCACTGAGGTCTCGTCTTGTAAAAAATGATTTCATACGAAGATTTTTCTCGCTTGCTCAATTCTTGAAAATATTTCTCTTTTCGGGTCGCACTGACTATTTATTTTAGCTGCTAAATACTTTATTGGGGTCACTTGTTCGATTGTTGTATAACTTAGTCATAAACTAAGTACCTAACTATGTATAACTTAGTGATATGAAAAGGACCGCATTAGATATGTAAAGATTACAGTGGAAGAAACCAAGAGGCATTTTATAAAATATCTATTTATCTAACTAAGAAATTGGGGCAATGGTCCAGCTATGTAGAAACACCGGTTTCCTATAGATCACCGAAGTTACGCGATGTTAGACAATGCGAGTAAATGGACGGGTGACCGTCTGGAAACTCCGTCGTGCACTTTCTGTTGTTTCAAGAGAGGAGTGTAATATCTATTGACAAACACTACTCATGTACGTCGCGTTGGTTCAAGGCCGGATGTGATCGGTAGACACTCACTTATTCAGTAGGCCATTAGCAATGATATAGGAAATTGGTCTACCAGTTCAAAAAACATATTTCTCGTGTTAAAATTTAACATTTTGTATTCCTAACTAGGCTACATTCCCAACTAGGTACGCGTTTCAAAAAGTTAGTCTTCCACAGGACACAAATGTGTGTCATAATGCGGCACTTTTCTGCTATACTTGGTAAATACTCTTTATTAAGAGATTGTTGATATATAAGTAACCCAAAAATTAAAAAGAACGTATTTTTTTCTCTTTAATTTACATTAAGTAGGTATCTCTTTTGTTAGTTGTACCATCTTATTTTTGGTATAAATAAGTAACATGTTTAAAAATTCGCTGGCAAATAACCATACTATACAATTAACTCTTTGGGTTTTAATTATTTATTTATAAGAGTATACAATGGCTAGATTGTGAATAAAAAAGATCTAGACGATTTGGTAATTAAAAACATTTATTTGTCTGTATAATATTATATTATTTAGTAATATAAAAATTAAATTAAGTAAAATCTACAACCTAAATGTACTATACAAATGAGGTAGAACGAAAATCAGTCCTATTGATTTGAAAACATAATAGAAAACGTCTTTGGGTACAACGCGAATAAATAAATCTTAAAAGAAAAAACTAAAAAGGAAAATTGCTTATTTTTTCAAAATATGTATATAATTTAATCGGCAGTCAAAAACAAATAAAACTCCTATTACATCATGCCTGGAAAGCTGTAGCCATAGCCAGCCACTGTATATTGTGCAATATGATTTATTGTTGTTCGGCCCGCGTGCATTTCCAAAATGCGATAGAACGTTAGTAAAAGAAAATAAAAAAGAACGCAGCATACACATACACACAACCCATACATACAAATATATGTATGTATATGTATACGCGCCTGCACTTTCATATCGATGCGAAAAAAATGTTATTTTGATTCGTTTTCCCGAAACGCGGAGCTACGTAGGGGCGGAGGGGGTAAAACCCGCCAAAACAGGGGCGAGAGGGGTACAGAGGACCTGAAAAAATCATACGAAAAGGAACAAACTAGTGACGGAAGGGTAAGCGGGGACAAACGACACGCAAGGGAGACCAG